GGCCGGGAGCGGCCACTGCACTCCAGTCTGGGCGACAGAGTGAGACTCCGACTAAAAAAACAAAAAACAAAAAAAGAGTTAGAAACGTGAAGTATTTGAATATAGTCACAGAACCAGTGAGTGGTGTGAACCTGGGAGACAATTCTCATCTCAAATTGGACACTTCCCACTATGCAAAATGGTCTTCCTTCCCCAGTTTAAAAATTTACTCACCACCAAGCGACATCAAAAAAGAATTTCAGTTAAAGAAAGATATATTCTGCATGGAAAAATATTAGCCACTATTTAAAAATTTGATTGATCGAGTCAGAGTCTCACTCTGTCGCCCAGGCTCGAGTGCAGTGACATGCTCATGGCCACCTCAGTCTCAACCTGCTGAATTCAAGCGATCCTCCCACCTCAGCCTTCCATGTAGCTGGAACCACGGGTGCACATCCCCACACCCAGCTAATTTTTTATTTATTGTAGAGAGGAGGGAGGTCTGGCTACGTTGCCCAGGCTGGTCTGGAACCCCTGGGCTCAGGCAGTCCTCTTGTCTCGACCTCCCAAGGTGCTGGGATTTACAGGCATGAGCCACCATGCTCGGCTAAAAAAATTTAAATCAAATCATAGTTGCAATGTCTCTTGCTCTTAAAAGTCATTTTCAGAATCACTGTTGATCTTTTACACTGAGTGAATAACAATTATTACATATATATGTGATTTGATGTATACATGTATAAGAAGAGTAGCATGTTAGCAACAATCATTTAACATGCTTTATTCTTAGTTTATATTTTTATTTCTAAAATATGGATGATTTAAGTTGAAAAACTTCACATTTTATCTGTACCTAATACAGTGCTATAAAATTATACATTTAAAGAGGTTTCATTTCTGTTGTTAGACTGATATCATAGAGAATCCTCTATGATAAATTCATTCAGTTATGAATAATTTTGATTAGCATCTTAATAAGAGTGAAATGAGGGTAGGGTGCCTAAGTTACACTGAAAATTTTTTCACCAAGTCATTATTTTTTAGATAGCCAGATTTTATTTTTCAAAGTCATAGAATAAAAATTTAATTAAAAATCCTATTTCTTAATTTTAAATTGGGAAGTATTTCCGTAATTGAAAGATTTTAGTCATTAGCATAGTCAGAAGTTGAAAATTTTCAGGGCAACCCCTCGGGTCCCCTCCCACTTTGGGAGCTTTTCTGTCCTCTTAATAAATCCTGCTTTCTTTTAAAAAAAAAAGAAAGAAAATTTCAAAAGTTGTACAGTACAAGTTGGATAATTAATTAAAATTTTTAGTAATCTACTTAGTCTGGTATGAATATATTTATTTGCTGAATTTTTTTTTCCTAGCTGTCTCTATGTAGATTTTTAAATAATGATTTTGTAAAATAGAAAAGATATTGTTTTCCCCTAGGTATACCATTTTAGCATACTTTTCTTTCAATATGTGAGATATTTGAAAAGTTGAGATACATTTAGGGTAAAAATTTCTGTGATTCTCAATATTCTGAGCTACTCATCCGAAGAAAAAGTTTATTTGTCATGGACTTTTTAAAATAACTGACTGAATTCCCTAAATTTATATTTACAACATAAGTAGGTAAAAGATGTTTCACTAATTGCTGTTCTTTACTACCTTTCTGTTTTATTTCTGTGATTATTTTGTTCTATTGATTTTCATAAATATAAAATTAGATATATCTGTGACCATTCAGCTTGATCAAAACTATATATATAGTTGTGCTAACATTAAAAATTTTTAAATAAACACTTTAGTTTGTAATTTAGTATGTGTGTGTGTGTGAGTGTGTGTGTGTGTGTGTGTGTGTGTGATGAAAAGGCAAATAGTCAACATTAATCGACTGCTTTCTTTGTGACACACCCACATATAATTTCCATGACAGTTCTGTGAGACAGGTGAAGTTATTGGCTCAGTCAATGGATGGGAAGGCCAGCTAAGAGATTTTGTTTGCCCAGAGAACATAGCACAGACATAGTAAGTTGATTTCATGTTTTGACTATTGTGAATAGTGCTTCAATAAACATGGGTGCTTAGATATCTCTTTGATATAGTAATTCCACTTCTGTTGGATTTATACCCAGTAGTGCAATTGTTGGGTTCAGTTTTAATTTTTTGAGGAACTTCTGCACTGTTTTCCATAATGACTGTATTAATTTTCATTTCCACCAATAGTGTGAAAGAATTCCATTTTCTTCACATTCTTTCAAACACTTGTTATCTTTTGACTGTTTGGTAATTGCCATTCCAACTGGAGTAAAATGGTATCTCATTGTGGTTTTGACTTACATTTCTGTGATGATTAATGAAGTTGAACTTTTTTTTTTTTTTGAGTTGGAGTTTCACACTTGTCACCCAGGCTGGAGTGCAGTGGCACACTCACGGCCACCGCAGCCTCGGCCTGCTGGGCTTAGGTGATCCTTCTGTCTCAGCCTTCCAAGTAGCTGGAACTACAGACACATGCCACCACATCCGGCTAGATTTTGTGATTTATTGTAGAGAGGAGGTCTCACCAAGTTGCCCGGGCTGGTCTCAAGCCCACGGACTCAGGCAATCCTCTAGCCTGGCCTCCCAAAGTACTGGGATTACAGGCTGGGCCACCATGCCTGGCCGAAGTTGAGCATTTTTACATACCTTTTGGCCACATGTACGACTTCTTTTGAGAAAGGTGTATTCAGATCTTTGACGCATTTTTAAATTGCGTTGTTTTGTTATTGAGTTGTTTGAGTTGCTTATATATTTTGTATATGAATCCCTTACGATATGTATAGTTTGCAAATATTTTTTCCCTTTCTGTAGGCCGTTTCTTCACTTTGTTAATTGTTTCCTTTGCTGTGCAAAAGCTTTTTAGTTTAATGTACCAACATTTAGATATGGTGAACTAAGACTTGTGCCAAATGCTCTGAGAAGATCCAGAAATTTCTATGATTATGTTTGTAGCATAAAAGTGTTCATACTGCTTGTTTTTCTGTTATGATATGTTTAATAGTTCTGCTTTATAAAACATCTTTCTATTACACTATTTTCAGTAGCTGCATATAATTCTATTATATAGACATTTTATATTTTATTTAACCAGCTTCAATCACTGCAGCCCATTTTAACCCATTTAACCCAGCGTAGTATCTTAACACATAAGCATCCATTCCTCATAAATTCTTAGTACAATTGCTGGTCTCCTGTAATCTTTGACTTTGAATCCATGACAGTCATAGCTATAATTCTTTTACCATTTTACACTACTGCCTGTAATAGAATTTGGAATGAATGGATTGAATAGGGGAGATCTTGATATTGGCCCAGATGCTGTTGATTGAACATGCACATACACACCAGTTGTGCAGATGGACTGCTTTCTTTTTTTTCTTTTTTTTTTCTTTTGCTTTTTTATATATGTATATTATTTATTTTAAAGATGTGGGGTACAATTTAGGATTACATATACAAGCAGACATCACACAGGTAAAGTTTGGGCCTCCATTTGGTCCCCACTTTGCCTGGTTTGAGATCAAGTACCCTTATGGATGTTGTGTTTCCCTACTCCTGGACTGCTTTCTAACTGAAGGAATCTCATTCATCATTTTAATGCCTGCTTTACTTGTATACCAGGGTAGTAAGGGGATCAAGTAAGATATATTTATAAAACTATTTTGAAAAATAAAATCCACAATTTAATATGCAGTGTTTTTATAAAAATATAAGTAGTCATTGCTTAGCTATGTGAGATATGCTTGTGGTGATCATTGTACTGATACATATTTATGTCACAAATGTTTAGTAAATACCTGTGTTGATCAGACTATGTGCTAGATATTTGGAATATGACTGTGGGAGGGAAAAGAAAAAAAAGACAGACTTCCTTCCTGATTTTAAAATGAAGTTAGCCAAATACCTAATAGTTTTGATTTATAATGATGCATGCTTTCTATTAGTGAAACTGCATTGTGTGATAGGATAAATGGATTAAAAAAAAAAAAACCGTGTTGCTTTTGAAGGGATAACAAAAAGAATAGCTTTGTCAATTTTGTCATTACAAAGACCAGGCAAAACTTGAAAATATAAACCTTACATCAAAAGTACTATGTAAGTAAGTGTTTTAAGAGATTTTGTGTGTGTTTGATATTGTACTAGCATCAGGATCTTGTTTCCTAACTCTGAATTCAATTTCACGTCACCATTATGCTTTAAGTGAGTGATTTTAAAGTTTGAATAGAGTTTGGATAAATATTGCAGGGAGAGCGTAATAGATCCCCCCCTTTTTTTTTGCAAATCTGTTTACTGTTCAAACTTGGGTGATTTATTAATCACATAGAAGCTTCAAAAATAAGACAGTGACCAAGAACAATTTGGAAATTGGAAATTTCTAACTCTTTGACCTTTCTTCTCAGGTGGAACTTTTCCAGAAGACTTTTCAATATTATTTACAGTAAAACCCAAAAAAGGAATTCAGTCTTTCCTTTTATCTATATACAATGAACATGGGATTCAGCAAGTTGGCGTTGAGGTTGGGAGATCCCCTGTTTTTCTATTTGAAGACCACACTGGAAAACCTGCCCCAGAGGACTATCCCCTCTTCAGAACTGTTAACATCGCTGATGGGAAGTAAGTAGCAGTGATCTAGTGGATAGCCATGCTGAAGGCATTTCTTCCATTCACCCATTCAGCAAATATTGATGAATAGTGATATAGTTTTCCTAGGGTTTGGTTGACATAGAAATGTATAAAACAATAAAGTGCCTAGCCTGACATAGTTTACAGTCGGAGCAGGCAAACAATGAACAATAACAACAAAAAGACTAATAAGTAGTTTCTCAGGTGGTGATTAGTGAGAGAGAAAAAGTATAGTAAAGAGGATAAGAAATAGCAGCTTGTTTTTTTGAGTCTGAGTCTCAATGTGTCAGCCAGGTTGCAACATCGTGGATACCAGCACAGTAGAAATGCAGTGGGAAGATGAAGATGGAGAAGCCTAAGAAGGGCAGATGATACATCACTCTGTAGGAGGCTGTAAGCACTTAAGTTCTACTCTGAGTGGAATAGGAAGTCACTGGAGGCTTTCTGAGCAGAATGATCTGATTTGACTTATTTTTTACCAATAATACTAATATTGGAGATTGTAGGAATGCTTATATAGAACTTGGTATGTACTATGTGTTCTAAGCACCTTTTACATTGTTAACTCATCCAACTTTCCATGACTTTTTTAAGAAAGTAATGTTAATAAATCCATTCTGCAGATAAAAGAACAGAGGCAAAGAGAGTTTGAGGAACTTCCCTAAGGTCATGTAGTTGGAAAATGACAGAGAATGAGTTTGAACTCAGGCAGACTCACACAACACTCTTCTGCAAATCGTTGACTTCTTAATTCTGTGTTGGGATCATTGTCTTTCACTTAAGGAGAAGCTAAATACAAATAAATGCTTATTAAATTTACTCGATATTTTATTTCTGAATCCAGACCTCTAAATATAGTGTCATCAGAAGCAAAACATTTGGTTATAGACATAGGAAGGAAGTAGTAGTGCAGATGAAAAAAAAAACCCCAGAAAACAATCCATGCTCATTGCATCTTTTTCAGGACCATGGAGAAACCTTCAAATGTTAGTGTAAGATAAAAGCCAGACTTTGATGAGTCATTTACATTATTCGTCTAAAAGCAAATAAAATATAATATTACATTGTATTTCATTTATTGACTGCCTGAAAACTCCATGCTAAAATTTTAGCCCCTGCTTAGTAATTGTAGGTCACATTTTGAATTCATTTTGTTATTCAAACCTTATTTTTCCTTAATCTTGCTTTCTTGGCTAAAAAACAAAAATAATCCATTTATTGCAGCTTGCATCCTATTTTAAAATAATAGGCAGCGTTTAGCAGAAGTAAGTCATAAAAAGAAAGCATGAGGATTACTCAGTAAATATTTGTGATTGATTAGCAAACAGAGCAAGAAGTTATATTTACATATTTCAGAGTAGTAAAATATTATTTTGACAATATATTGAATAAAATTAATCCACAGTGCTATTTGTTCCTTTTTTTCATTCATGCATTTTTTTCCCAATAACAATTTAAGTGCTTACCACGTGTCAGGGACCTGACACTGTTAAAATGTGACAGATTTGTTGTGGTCAGTTGGCATAGAGACAATTTAATTGCACAAAATATTGGTATTTTAGCACACTTTGATTGTTTTAAGAACCATCATGACATTCATGAGGAAAGGACATTCATTCCATAAGTGTGTATCTACTGGCCGCTACCACTTGGCTGGCACAGGGGTTTAACAGTGTCAACTGATGCACCAGGCTAAGTTCCTCCCCTCCTTGAGCTTACCTTCTATCAGAAAAGTCAGACAATAGACAAATACTTGATACACATAGTGCTGATAGTTCAATGAATGAAAATAAATCTAAGTAAGGGATGGAGACTATGCTATGTTGCATAGGGCTGGTCTCTTTGGTGAGGTTGCACTTAGTTAAGTCACGAAAGAAGTGAGGAAGTGGGAATACAGAGGAAGAGCATTCTGGCAGAGTGGGGAACAGGAGCAAGGGATAATACATAGGCAACCTTAGAGCTGAGGGGCAGGAAGCTGGAAGGGGAAAATAAAAAATGAGTTCAGAGAAGGCCAAGGGCCTTTCCTGTGAAGTGGAGGAAGAGCTTCAACTTTTACTATGAGTCCCGTTTTTGATTGTTTTCAGCAAGGTAGAGACTTGATGTGACTTATATTTTATTTACATACTTATTGTTTTGAGATAGGGTCTTACTCTGTTGCCCAGGCTAGAGTGCAGTAACGTGATCACAGCTCACCACAGCCTTGACCTCCTGGGCTCTGGTGATCCTCCTGGCTCAGCCTCCTGAGTAGCTGGGACTATAGGTATGGGTCACCACGTCTGGCTAATTTTTTCATTTTGTAGAGACTAGTTCTCGTTATGTTGCCCAGGATGGTCTTGAACTCTTGGGCTTAAGCAATCCTCCAGCCTTGGCCTCCTAAAGTACTGGGATTACAGTCATAAGCCACGGTGCCTAGCTGAGAATTATATTTTTAAAAGTCACTCTGTTTACATAAGAGTGGAACCGAGTGAACTGGTTAGGAGTCTAGGTGAGAGAAATGGCAGCTTGCACTCAGTTGAGGGACCTGAATTCTGTTTAAAATAAAGTACCTAAAAAGTTGCAGGAGCCCTCCTTTTAAAATATATGAGCGGCTGGGACTTTCTGTTGATATGAATATGTCACATGAGAGATATAATTAAGAATAATTAAGAATGACTCCAAGACTAATTGTTAATTTTGTATTTTGAATATTATATCTGATACCATAATTATGACATATTATCAGAGCTTAAATTAATTCAACGAAGATATCAAGTTTAGAGTTCTAATCAGCCCTTAAGTATGCAAATCATTTTTATCTTCCGTTAATGGAAAGAACGTACACACAATACTGAGAAAGGTTTAAGTGAAGACACAGGCTTTTTGGCATGAAGTATGTGTAAATTTTACTCTCACTGTATTAAGTAGCTCTTTATATAAATCTTTGCTCAATTCAAACCAAGCAGACACCTATGCCAGCTGAATGTGCTCGTGGAAAGACCAAAGATTAAGGGTATATGGAAATACAGTTGGTCCTCATCAGTAACCATGCCAAGTCACATGAAGCAGAACTTTTAAAAGGAGGGCTCCTGCAACTTTTTAGGTACTTTATTTTATGGATATAGTCCTAGACGCTTCTGGAATAGTAATCTAGCACTTTTAATTTGGAAAATAAAATAAAATATAAACCAGACTGGCTTGCAGAATCCGAGTGAGCTTCATCTAGTGGTTTATGTGAGCTCTGTATATTGTTAATAAAACCCACAGTTTCACAGTATGTATGTTTCCAAAGGACTGGCCATGTCTCCCCCGCCCAGCCTGTCATCACAGCCCAGAATTAACCGGAGCAGTAGCCGCAGAGTGAATTGAGACTCTCATTCCACACCTGCGTCGACTGTGCTTTCTTTCAGTTTTCCTACTTCCTGCCAGTCCTGGAAAAAAGGAGAGATCTTGTGTCTCAGTTTTGGATCATGCCCACAGCAGTGACCTATACCTGTCTTGAAATTAAAGTGGAAAAAGAAAATGAAAGCACTTGAAATCAACGTGAATAAGGACAGCGTAGCACATGGTGTTTTAAAACTAGAATGCTCCTTGGTTCCAGATGGAGCATTCAATTGGTAGACCCACCTTTTTACAATCTCAGGAGATGCCCAGAGCAGACTCGTTTTTTAAAGTGGAATTCTACTCTGGAGAAAACATTTACGTACATGGAAACGATTACTTACCCCATATCCTGCCCTAATCTCTATCAAATGCCTTCATCAGAACAGAGTGAGATGAAGCTTTTGTTGTCACCACACAAAGTGAAGTAAAGGTTGGGCCCTTCTGAGCACAGCCAACCAATCCTGAGTTGCCTCTCATGCTGCCAGTGTCCTTTTGAGCACCTGGCACTGTGCTGGGTAGACAGTAAGTAGTCACTTGTTGGTTGATTCGTAGACGATTTTGTACATTTGTCTGATTTCAGCTCACCTTTACAATGAATAATGTAATGTGACTAATGGTTTGGCAGCCAATGTCTTTGAAGCTTACAAAGGAGTTCCTTGGCTTTTTTAGGTGGCACCGGGTAGCAATCAGCGTGGAGAAGAAAACTGTGACAATGATTGTTGATTGTAAGAAAAAAACCACAAAACCACTTGATAGAAGTGAGAGAGCCATTGTTGATACCAATGGAATCACGGTTTTTGGAACAAGGATTTTGGATGAAGAAGTTTTTGAGGTAAAAATAAACCCAATGTCAAGCTGAATATGATGAAATCAAATGAACTGGATAAATAACAGTAGCAATCAATATATGTGGTAAAGCAGAGTTGAAAACTCTGAAGGGTGACCTACTTTTCTTCCACTGTGGGTGCAGTGGTGATGTTTTCTATTGTTCAGTAAGATAATGACTAGACAATGGTGACTGTAGCGCCCAGGAAACCTTTGCAGGGATTGGTTGATTTGAACACAGGCACGCTATTCTCCTGGGAATTAGAGACGGCTTTCCTCTTAGTACTTTGCATATTTTCCTTGGAGAAAAAGAATATTTTCTTCACTTCCTTCTCTAGGAGATTAATTTAGAGAAATGTACAAATCATGTATTTTTTTCTATGTTCTTTGTGAATGTTTCCAAGTTAAATAGCATATTGCAAAGTATGAACTTTAAGTTTTAAAATTACTTAAAAAATAATGTGCAGGTTATGGTAAGGAGCTTCCTACCATTTATGTTTCAGTAACTATGATAAGTGCAGTTTTCTAATCCTTCGATTATGACGTGATAATTTATGCTTTAATTTTCATTTAATCATTTTTAACAGAACAAACAGACCTGTGTCCTGACCTCATTAAGGGATGCCCACCTGAGACATTATTCAGTAGTTTGGTGATGGTTTTTAAACAATTTCTTAGTCATTTATTGTTCAAGGAATAACAGAATAAAGCTGTATAATATAGTACTGATTAATAGACATTTCAAATGGAAGATTTACTATATTTTGTTGAGGTGTTAACACACACACACACACACACACACACACACACACACACAGAGACAAATATGCAGACACACCCACATATATATGCACACAGTCACACAGACAGTAAATATTTTCATAAAAAGAGCAATGTGAATTCAGTGTTAGTCAGATTGTATTCTAGTACTGACATTTATGTGTGTGTGTGTGTGTGTGTGTGTGTATTTACATTCTAGCATAATTTTAAATGTAATTAACATTTGTGATATTATTTGGGATATTATTTGTTTCTGATTTTTTTCCACGAGTGTGTATCTACACCTTGAATCAACATATTTTAATTCGTTATGTCATACTGGATTACGTAAATGATAAACTGATTCTCTTAATACACAATGGTAATCTAATCTCAGATCATCCAATGTTGTGCATTGATTGCACACACATGATGAAAAACAACTATTAATTAAATGAACAAATATTGTAAACAATTTAATAGAATTTATAGTCTTGCAATGTCTTATTTTAAAATAAAACTATTCATAAACATTAATTCCCAGGTTAGTTTATTTTGTAAGCCACACAACCTTATTTTCCAGGAACATAAATGAGTAATATGGAAGAAAAATTATCAGTGGAATTTCTTTGTTTTTAAAAAATTGATTCTTAACCTTATAAAACCATATACTGCATTCTAAATTCTGGAGTAGCTTCAGTTATTTATTTGAAGAAGCTATTAAAACATTAAACAAAATTTTTAAAAAGATTATTAGATGAAATCTCTAGTGAATATGACAGAGAGTAGTAAAAAAATAAGTTTATTAAGTTACTTTGCATTGTGGAGTTTCATAAAGCCCCATGGAGCTTTAAATGGAACATTTATTTACTATGAAGTGTAATTAGTTTTTAAACTGTAAATGAATGCAAAATTCTTCACTTGTCAAACTTATCTTTTACTATTTTTGACCAGTTAAATAGGGAAACTATTTTTATTTACTAAAATATTGAGAAGGCTTTATTTAGAGGAAGAATCTTTGAGTTGGGTGAAATTTTATATTGATATAATTAACATATTCAAACAGTCATCAGATATAAGATTCAGATCTTATTTCCTAAATTGTATGGATATATAATTCCACAAATAATTTAGTTTTTTTCACTTGACAATGGAACATGAATAAAATACGTGATTCAAACACATACTTTTAACTCAAACTAAAAAAAAAAATTGTTCCTTTTGTGAAATTAGTTCATTTGACTTGAATATCTGATGTTGATATTGCTGTTCTTAAAAATGTACTCAAATATTTTTTCCTTTCATTTTGGCTTTTAATAATTATAGTGCCTATACAGACTTTGGAATCTTTGCAAGTGAACATGTAGAAATTAAATTAAAAGTGATAGGAGATAGAAATGGTATCATATATACATGATTTTAGTGTTTGATAAACAATTGTGATGGATAAAGATAATATGGTAACATCCGTGATTCATCAGTCTGAAAACCAGACATGTCACTCTTTGAGACATAGTGCAATTCAGATTTAGTTGCAAATTTGGTTAGTGTGTATAATTTCATGTACACAGTACTCTACATTTCTGGAAATTGTACTTTTTATCATGTCAAAAAAGTTAAACAGGGTCATATTTGAATTTTATTTCTGACGACTTTTACAAATTCAACACTAAATGGGTAAAAGCAAAACAAAATATAATTTTAGAAGTTGGACTTTAGAAGAAAAAAAAAGTTTGACTTTAGGAGACCAAGGTGGAATGATAGCTTGAAGTTTGAGACCAAGTTTGAAGGATAGTTGGAAGTTGGAGACCAGCCTGGGCAATAGTGAGACCCAGTTTTTACTATAAATTTGTTGAGTGTGATGGTGCTTGCCTTGCAATTCTAGCTATTTGGAGGCTGAGATAGGAGAATTCCCTGAGTCTAGGAGTTTGAAGCTGTAATGAGCTATGATCATGCCACTGCACTCCAGCCTGGGTGACTGCATGACTTGTCTAAAAAAATAAATAAATAAAAAAGTTTGACAATTTTGGTTTACATGTTATGTTTTACAGGATCAATATATAGATCCATAATTCAGATTCTATAATTTCAACATAACAGAGTGATTAAAAAAATCTATTCTGGAATGAGAAAAATCTGATTTTGAATCCCAACATGTAGCTTAATATTCACTCTTCTCTGTAAATTGCTTTATATAAGTTTTCATTTCTTATTCTTATAGATATGATCCCATCCATATATGTCTAATATAATAGACTCTTTCTCATAAGGATTTAGACAAAATGAGCTGATATATGTAAAGTTCTTAAGATACTAGTATTCATTTACATATATATGTAATATATATGTGGTTATCTGTTAGGTTAATTTAATTATGAATTAATGTGTAGTTTTTAAAGTCTTAGTGAGTTTCTTTGTCTTAAAATGAAGTACATTTTTTCCAGGCTACTGCTAGTTTACAAAGTATTTTGTAGATATTAGATAAATTTATCCCCTCTAGACAGAGGTATTACTTGGGTACAGATCTTAATAATTAGAGCATGGTCTGTGTGGATGAATACTTTCATGAAAGCACAAAATACCCAACCATCACTAATCAACAGCCTTGATTTTTTTCCAGCTTGATAATACACTTCAAAGATGTGAGGAAAAGCTAAATTAAAAGCACATGACTTGTATTTATTATCAATAAAATTATTTCTGGAGTATTTTAGACAGGAACATTTCTTTACTCAATAGCAAGTGACAGCCATTGTTATTCAAGTTGTCTATGCATTGTTATTTCTATATTTTTAAATTAAAGAATCAAAGCAAATTATTATGTCTTTTATATTTTTGCAAATATCTGTCTTTGGGGAGATTATTTCATTGAAGTAATGAGTGGGATCGGATGACTATTTGAGTGGAAAAACTTGTTGATGAAAAGTTTGAATTTTTCCCAACTCCTCAGAAAAGTTTATTGAATTCAGTTTTCTGTGGAGAAATCAATGACGAGTAATTTGTAAAACTATGCTATTTTAATAATTTGACAAGGCCTGAAAAATCTTACTTTAAAATAATAATAGCCATCTAAAATAATCCATTAAGGGTTAGCTAACTTTGTGTTAGCGTACGTGCTTTGTGATGACCACGTATCTTTTCCTGCATAGATGGCCCAAATACTTAAAAACCGTCTGGTAGTAGACATGATTTTTCTACAGAACTATGTAATAATATAGATATAGCTTTTCCATTTACCACCTTTCCTACCATGGATGCATTTAGTTCATGATTGCTGAGATTATTTTTCCTCAATAAATTGAGGTACAATTGAACTATACAGTAAACCACAAATATTAAAAGCATACCATATGATCAGTTGTGATTTAGGTATACAGCTGTGAAACCATCATAATCAGGAAAATAAACATTGTCATCTTACCCTAAGTTTCCTCATCACCCTTTAAACTTCATCTTTTCTTCCACCCTCATCCTAGAAAATCACTAATTTGTGTTTTATTATTGAGGGTTTTTATCATTTCTGAAATTTTTACAAATGGCATAATATTGAATGCACTCTTTTAAACTTGTATTTTTTCATTTAACATAATGATTTTAAAACCTACCAATTTGTTGGTATGTATCATTGCTTCTTTTTGATTGCTGAGAGGAATTTTAATGTTTGGCTAACCAAAAATTTGTTCCTCCATTTATATTATTACTGGAAATATGGGTTACTTCCATATTTTGACTTCTACATATAAATCTACCATGAACTTTAATATATAAATTGTGTGTGATTATTTATTTTTGTTTCTTTTGATTGAATACCTAGAAGTGAAATGCATGGGTTATTTGGTAGGTGCTTGCTTAACTTAAAAAAAAAGAAAAGAAAACTATCAAAGTGTTTTCCAAAGTGACATTAACCACTTTATACTTCCTTTAGCAGTGAATGAGAGTTTTGTATCTTTGTCAGCCCCAGTATGATCTGTCGTTTTAATTTAAGTCATTTTAAGTACACACGTTATAGTGTTATACTGTGGTTTTAATTTTTATTTTTCTCATGACTGATGATGTTAAACATTTTGTCAGGTGCTTGTTGGTCATGAATGCGTCTTCTTTTGTGGGTATCTTTATAAATCTCTTGCCCATTTTTAAACATTGCACCGTATCTCTTCTGGTTAGGGAGTTTTTGGTGTTTTTTTTTTAAGTTGGAGTCTCACTCTGTCACCCAGACTGGACTTGCTGAGCTTATGCTATCCTTCTGCC